TTTCTTTTTCTGAGATGGCTGACGCCTGCTTCTGGGACCAGTTACAGCAGATGGGTGCAGCAGATATGAGGATGAACAGAAGGCAGAAGGTTATTTTAACAAGCAGGCCGTGGTACACCATCTACCAATACCAACATGTTCCACAACTTGTGAACATTTCTCCACTGAGTCCCAGAATGCCATTTTTAAAGTTAAGATCGTTTTTAATGTTTTACCTGTTTTAATTATTCAGTATATTTTAATCAATTTTATGGTTTAATTGGTGTTTTTTTAATGTATATGGAATGTGTTTTTCACTCTGTCCTTTTTAACTTTACGAGTCCCCTTATTGGGAGAAAGGCAGCCTATAAAACAAACAGCAACAGCAACACAAAAAGCAAACCATGTCAGTTTAGAAGGTGTGGGAGAAAGGCAGCCTATAAAACAAACAACAGCAGCAACAGCAACACAAAAAGCAAAGCATGTCAGTTTAGAATGTAAATCCCAGGTCAGGATGCTGGTTTGTTTTATCTTTGTTTCCTAAGAGTAGACTACTTTGGCTCAGCCCCCTGACTAAATAATGTGTCCAAATTTGTCCTTGAGTTTTTTTAACTTCTGGGAACCGTTGTGGGGGAGTCTTTCTGTATCTTGTATCAGATTTCCTTGAGGTGTGCACAGCAGAATAGTAGAAAAACAAAACAGAAAACCTTACAAAGAAGAAGCAGGTACATGGTACCGTATTTTTCCATATATAAGACTATACTTTTGTCTAAAATCTTTAGACTAAAAATTGAGGGTCGTCTTATACACGGAAGTAAGCTGAGGAGAGAAAAAAACAACGTGGAGGGGAAAGCAGGGATCAAAGTGATCCTGCAGGGCTTTGATCCCTGTTTTCCCCTCCCCTTGTTAAGCGTTAGCACAAGGAAAACAGGGATCAAAGCGCTGCAGGATGGCTTTGATCCTTGCTTTCCCCTCTGCTTACTAAGTCCCATGGGACTTAGCAAAAGGAGGGGGGAAAGAATCAAAGCAATCCCATGGCTGTATAAGGGGGAAAGGGATCACAACGATCATGCAGTCGCGGGATAGCTTTGATCCCTTTTCCCCCTACACTTGCTAAGCCCAACTTAGATTTCTTCATTTTGGGTTAGAAAAGTGTGGGGGGGGGGCGTCTTATAAATGGAAAAATATTGAATGAATGAACGAACGACCAAACAAACTAATACATAATTTCAGAGCAGACTAGAAAATTTAAAGAGGGAAAGGTGGGTCACATTCCCAGCCTTGGTTAGGAAAGGCTGAGACAAGGAGCAGACGAGTGAGCGACTACGTGTGCAACCTTCACACCCCTGTTTTGTGTGGTGTGTGTGTGTGTGTGTGTGTGTGAGAGAGAGAGAGAGGCCCATTCCTTTCGAAAGATCAGGGACGTGGTGCACAGACACCTCTGGCTCCTGGCTGGCTCTTGCATCCCTGTTAACTTTCAACCCGGCAGGTTCTCTGGTGGAGTGTCCCCTTTCGCCTTCTGCTTCTATCCACCAAATGCTGGCATTCCTGTTTGAATGGCTTCATAAATCTGAATAAGGTGATGAGCTTCAAGGACTAAGTCAGGCCTTTGCTGAGTTGTTGTTTTTCCCCCAGGGAACAAACCAGACAGTTCTAAAAATAGCCCTTGGGGAAAATTCCTTTCCTATTTCCTTGAGTGCTGATCCTGAAGCTGGCAAAACTGATGTAAACATGTTAAGTGCAAGCCTGCAGCGAGCCGGACTCAAAATGAACAGGCATTCCTCTAGACGTGTTCACGGGATGCCGATGGGGCCACCGGGGATCTCCTCGAGATCAGCCCGAACTAACCGAATGCCACGGAGTAACTTTTTCGTGGGTGTTGCGGGAGCGGCGCGGAGGGTGTGGGGTCCTGTGAACCCATGGTAAGCTGGGTAGTCGCCTTGAAAGGCCTCAGATCTCCCAGACGTGATCGGCGAATTGCGTTCAAGCCTGTTCAGTACTAGTTTGGACAGGGCTGCATCAATTTTGCAAATGTTCAGCAATGGTGGCACAAGGCTTTGCTGGGAAGGAGGGGCTGGAAGGTCGCTGGCTCCGCGTTTTCCTCTCCTTCGTAGCTATCGGTGTGTTATGCATGGCTTGCTGTGCCAAGGGGAGCGGTAGTCTCGCGTTCCTCATGTACAGAAACAGGAGAGGGCGGGGCTGCCTTTCACTTCTGCCTCCTTTCGTACAAAAGTGACACACAAAATAGATTGTGACGAAGTAAAGCATATTCATGAAACAGTGCAAGTCAAAATTCCAAGTTATAGTCCTGGGACCAGCAACAGTACTAAAATCAGCATTAAATAATTCCAATAATCTGGCCCCGTTAGTTATTAGTATATTTCCAACCCACTCCTTAGCCAAAGGTCTCAGTGCACGTGCACGCATATTAGTATATTTCCAACCCACTCCTTAGCACGCGCACACACATATGCAGCTTAGAAGCAACACAAGGTCACAGTGTAATATGATGATGGACAAACCCAATCCAGTACAAAGTAAACAGTGGTAATCCTGTGGGCAGGAAGATCCTGGTCCTTGGGTGGGTGCAATAAGAACGAGGTCAGCACCACCCATTCCTCTGGATGTGAAGGGAGGCCATTCAGTAACGGTCCGTGTGTGCGTACACACAAAGCTGTGAGGACCTTTTTTTCATTTGTGCGTAAGGTGGCGGATTCCAGAAGTCGAAGGCAGAGGAGAGAACTCCCAAGACCCAGCCTCCCAGCCCCACCAGTTGCCTGTAGTTAGACCAGTGGCTAATGAGGGTGGGTTCTTTGTGCATGATAGAAAATCCCAGTTCAGAAGCGATCCCTGCCCTCTTTCTTGAGTTGAAAGTGGAGTAGGAACCGTCTCTGCTTGAAGCCCTAAGAATTTATGAGACCGAGGTCCTCTATGCCATCTTTCTGGACACCAGAAAGTCCAGGACGGGCTTCATTCCGAAGTCTCTGCAGTATTAGCGGCATAATTGTTACGGTCTGGTCTGCCTCTTATCTGGTGGGTTGGTGAGTATCGTAAGTGGAGGAAAAGGACCAAGGGACATATTTTCAGTTACAGAACTGTCTTTGTTTCCACTAAACCGTGTGTTGGTGGGGCGGGTTCATTTGTATCATTGGGCAAATGTGTGGTCATCTCCCAGTGGACGCTGGGGTGGTCTTCGTGGGGAGAAGGCAGCGGCTAGACAGAGCCAGGGTTGTGGTTGTGTCTTGGCAGGGCGGGTTCAGTTGTATCATTGGGCAAATGTGTGGTCATCTCCCAGTGGACACTGGGGTGGTCTTCGTGGGGAGCAGGCAGCGGCTAGACAGAGCCAGGCTTGTGGTGTGTGAGTGAGGGACGGACGGACGGACGGACGGTTGGGCTCCCCGTTAAGGCATCGAAGTAAAGAGCTGATCAGAAGCTTCCTTCTCCGTCCACCTTCCCGAGCAGGCGTTTCTCCCCCCCCAAGCTAAACATGCTCCCCCCCCCCAAGATAAACATGCCTCCGAAGGGTGGGGAGGGTCTTCCGGGGGGGTGGGTTACATGAACGTCCGGTGCCTCCCGCCAGCCTGTGCATGCGGCAGCATATGGGAGCAGGGCTTGGTGGGTGGCGCTGGGGCCTTTGGCTTCTTGGCCTTTCTCTCTGTGCCGTGTGGACGCTGGGCGGCCTTTCGCCAGAGCTCAGCGTGTCCACGGGCCCCCTCTGTGCCCTGCCTGCCCCAACCGATGTAGGACTTTAGAACAGAGAAAAAGCATGAGAGGTTCAGGTTTTTGAAATCGGTTTGGCCTTTTTTTAACAGCCCTGGGGTGGAACAAGAACGTCTCCAAAGAGCACTGAACCCCAGTTAGTTGGTTTGCTTCTTTTAAAAAAAGAAGTCTTTTTAATGGCTTCGGACAAGAGATGTCGGCAGGTTTCCGTCGGCTCAGGGCAAGGAATATCTTGGGCCCCGTTTCTCTCTCTCTCTCTCTCCTGTTCAAAGGAAGATTGCTGTGTATTGCTTCTGTATGTATGCGTGCGCGCATGCACTGACACTCTAAAGCATTATGTAAATCTTAGTTAGAGGCTCTGAGGTTCTAGTGTAGAAACAAGCAAGGGTGTGTTTTGGGCAGCTGCAGAGGCTAAAAGGCAGACCTCTCTCTGCTTGCCGTGCAACATCCATTTCAAGAACATAGACAAGTTGTACCCAAGGGCTAGAAATCTGGACCTAGACGTCCTGAACCGGGGGGCGGGGGGCAAGCAGGTTGAAGAAGGTTTCCCCACCTTTATGAAGCAAGCACCCGCCAGTGCCTTTTCCAGAGTATCCGGGGTAGCTTCGGTGCCATCGTGAACATGGAAGGGCCCCTTTTCAGAGTGCCCGAGACCCGTCCTGCTTGCATGAGGACGCTCCCCTCGCTTTTCTGCCGGAGAGAATCCGGTCCTGAAATGGCTTTACCAGCTCTGCTCCCCCAGTGACTTTCCATGGCCGAGCAGGGATTCCAAACCAGGCCTGGTGCTAATCTGGTACCTGAAGGGGAAGGATTTGGAAGCTTTCCCGAGGAATTCCGAAGAGCACTGGATAATTCCAGAGCAAAGACAATCTCACCCAACTTCCTTTACTTTTGAAGCTGCGATGAGTTTTATCAAACACTCCCTGGCAATCAGGGTTAGCATGGAGCAGCAAAGCCTAGTTAGTGCCTGGGCATGTGCTAAGCGTAAACAACCCACAAGTCACTGTGCCTGCTTACTGAAAACATGTTCAGCAGAAATAGATGTAGATTGCACGGGCGCTGTGAAAAGCATTTCTTGGTGGTTTCTTTGGGAACCCGGTAGAAGGTGAGCTGGTGGGCTCTCTCACTCGTTCCTCTTGGGAGTTCTGGTTTCTTTCACTGGCAGCTGTGTATGTGTGTGTCTCTCTCTCTCAGGGGAGGGTGTGTGTGTGTGTGTGTGTGTGTGTGTCTCTCAGGGGAGGGTATGAGCTGTCGCTGAGCAGAAGGAAGCTGTGGTCATTCTACATCCTGTTCACACTCTTGCTTAAGAGCAAAAGCTGACGCTTGGCCCTCACCCCTTCCCCTCGCTGCCATTAGCCATTAGCCAGATGGAGCCCAGTAGCCCAATGTAGGGCCGATGGAGTGGAATCCTTCCGAGCTCCAACCAGCCTTCGCCAGCTCATCAGTCTCTCCTAATTGGAGACTTCATGGAGACCGAGGTAGGGCCACGCGCGGCTGTTTTCTCCCTGAGACGAGCTCTCTTCCAGCGTCCATCGAACCTTAACTCTCTTCAAATCAAGCTTATCCCTTCAGTTGCTCCTGTATTTAAAGACTGGGAGAGCCAACCACTTGACAAGGTTAGGCAACGTGATCTGAGAACGCAGTCCAGGGTCTTCCAGCCCCTTAGGTGGGACCCCGGGCTTGGCAGCTTTTCTTTCCCGAGTTGTGTTCTAGACAGCACCAGGCTCAACTTCCCAAGCCATAATGGGGCAATTATGAGCAACGCAGCTTCCCTTCTCAACAACGGATACGCCTTGGGCAGGGGAGCAGTCAACTTGCTTGGGCATTACTAAGGTTTCTCAAAAAAACGATACCCACCAGTGTAGGTATATTTATCAGAGGTTTCTGGCATTGTTCATTATTTGGTCCCAGCCGTCTTGCTGTAGGCATTCCCTGAGCGTTCCACTTTTGACATAACTGTTTGTTACAGCAAAATGTCTCATGGTATTCCGCTGTACAGCAACCATAATAGGGTTTTTTTTCCTCTCCTCCTGCTGAACAACTAGGTTCTTTGGGGACGGTGGTTGCTGGTAGGAAGAAGAACGTAGTCTCAAAAACAGTATAAAGTGAGATCGCTCACAAGAAGTGCGGCTTAATGAGCTTTATCCTCCCAGATTGGCTTCAGCCCCACTTGTCTTGGGTATCAAGGTGTGCCTGCCCTCCAAAACCAGTACAAATGAGGTGGAGTCTCTTTAGAATTCAGGAGAAGGAAAGGGTCCATGGCTTCAGAGTATTCCCCACCTAGGAAGCCCTAAAAAGGGTCGCCGTAAGTCGGAATTGACTTGGTGGCCCCTGATTAGCATTATTATTTAGAATGGGGTGATCGCGGGCCGTTTTTTAGGTTTGCTACAGTCTGGACTTCTAAAAGGGTGGGACTAAAGGGGCTAATTTGCATATGCAACCATTATTTAGTGTAAAGGAATCTGTAGTGGGTTTTTCTCTCCTTGAAAAATGCCTCTAGGTTAAAAAAAAAGCTTCTTGAAATTGAAAAAAGGCCTCTCGCTCCCTCTAGTGGTCATTATTATATATATTATCTCTAGCGAGAGAGAGATTATGGTCTATGAGGGCCCCTCAAAACATGACAAAATTGCTTCCATGCTCTCTATAGAGTACAGGGAGACTTTTTGAAGAAAAAAATGTTGTTTTCAGTCTGTAGTGATGGAGAAAACACAGACATAGTCCTGGGGGCTACGGCTACATTTTGACCCCGCCTGCCTTAGATGTAAGCAAGCTGTTTCTTGGGCCATCTTTTTCCAAAAAAAGAAAAGAAAAAAGCAAAGCTGCATCCATCTAAGCCAACTTACACACACACACACAGAGAGAGAGAGAGAGAGAGAGAGAGAGAGAGAGAGAGAGAGAGAGAGAGAGAGAGAGAGAGAGAGAGAGAGAGAGAGAGAGAGAGAGAGAGAGAGAGAGAGAGAGAGAGAGAGAGAGAGAGAGAGAGAGAGAGAGAACGGAGTGCTCTGTTTGTAACTATATGGCTTTTGCAACCAGCAGATGTCTTTGCACACCTGATGTGAAGGCCACGTTTGCTGAGCAAAGCAAAAAAAGCAAAGTATGTTGCTTCTATACCACCCCATAGCACTTCAAGCACTCTCTGGACAGTGTGCAAGTTAATTATGCAGTCTGTACATTCCCCCCCCTTCCAAAGTGTGCAAGTTAATTATGCAGTCTGTACATCCCCCCCCCCTTCCAAGTGAGCTGTCTGGGATGGAACCCCAGGTCGTGAGCACAGTTTGGGCTGCAGGACAGCGGTTTAACCCTTGTGCCACGAGGTTCTTACCGATGAGCCCTGTTGAGTGTGGGAGCTGCCCTTTGCTTTTAGCAACAGTGAAACTTCCGTGTCCGTTGCTGCGACTTGCAGCGTCCTGCCCTGATCGTTGATGGTCTGGAGGAGCAGATCAAAGGAGGGAGAAGCGTCTCATCTTCAGACCATCTTTGTCTTATCAGTTAGGAGCTTCCCCTCTTGGAGACACCAAGACTTTGATGGATATGTGATGGCTCACATGCAGGCATGGCTAGTATTCTCAAGATTCAGGGCTGGAGGGGTGCAGTGTACAAAGGTATGACCCAAGGGCCTGGTAACTGAGCATCTTTTGGGCACCAGCAGACTGCCATCTGCTTAGTTCTGAGCTCTCGGCTGGAAATGCCCCCCAGAAGCATCCACTGTCCTCCTTGGGGGAGTCTCCCCTTTCCCGGGGGGAGGGCTCACACTGTTGTGAGAAGCGTTCCCTAACTTATTGCCTTCCACAGACATTGAACCATGACTTCCACGTTGTGAGAAGCGTTCCCTAACTTATTGCCCTCCACAAACATTGACCCATGACTTCCACCACCCCCACCCACCCCCCAAAAACACAGCTTGTTGCTTTTTGTACGAAGGACAAGTCATGGAGGTCTTTCTGAAGAGGGATTCTGTCTCCTAACAAGAGAGAGAGAGAGAGAGAGAGCTTGTTGCTTTTTGTACGAAGGTCAAGTCATGGAGGTCTTTATGAAGAGGGATTCTGTCTTCTAAGAGTATGGAGCCTTTCATGGAGTTGGTTCTGCCCCAGACAAAGCCCTCTTACTGGTTTACGATCTTAGCCTATGGGCTGTTTTGAATAGATACCCTCCTGTGAGCCTTAAGGCTTGAGAAGGCTTGTGAAAGAGGTACCCCAAAGTCCATCTTCAGGGCTCAGTGTGTGATCTTGAAACCTCTGCAGAAATCCATCCTGCCCTCTTTGTTTGTGACCTTCTGAGAGCACTGAGTCCCTCGGAAACCTTTTGCTCTGCTACTCCTCGTGGAGTTTTATTTTTAGCCAGGACAGCCTGGTTCATGCCTAGAATGGTTTCAGTTTTATTCCTCCCTGTTTTGGCTACTTCATTTATGTTTCATGACTGCCACCGCTTAATGGAGAAGGCCAATAGACAAAGCAGAACTTGATCACCGAAGATGTGTTGCAGATAGATGGCTGAAAGCAACCAGCCGCTTGCTCCTTTAAAAGCATGGTTCTGAGTCTTGTTAAAAGGGGGAACGTGTGCCTTTTGCCCCTCTCCCAAAATCCTTCTGATGAAAGTCAATGTTTGGCTTGTTCTGCAAATTGAGCTCAACACACCAGAGCGTGTGCGGGTTCCCTTTATGGGGAGAGGTGACAGAACAAGCTAGAGTTCTGCCAAGGCTTGGGGAACAACCAAGCCATTTCTGAGTCTTTTCTGTGATGGGTGGGACTGGGAGCCCTTGCAGACCCACCACATGGGAGGCATTGTGCTTTGCCCATCCCAGTCCAACCTGGATGGCAGCTTGGTGAATCTGGAGCTGATCCAAGAGAATCCTGTGATGCCTTAAAAGACTTATTGCACCTATTTTTTAATAGTGGGGCAGCTTGAATGCAGACTCTGTAAACCTTGCTCCGAGTCTGCCAGCTTGTTGGCAAGACCTTGTTACTGAGTCTACTGGGGGGGGGGCGGGTTGTCACTGATGGCAGCCAAGCAACTGCTGCTTTCCACCCTCCTTGCATCTTTACGGCTTTCTGTTGAGTTGGGGATGGGAGGTGACTTTGCTCCTACACGGCGTGTTGATTTCAGAAGACCTCGCTTGTCACCTGTGCTCTGGGAGCCCTCCAGAGGTTTGCTTGTGAGCGTCAACCCTTGCAATATGTGGGTGACTTTAGTCCAGAACGCTAAAGTACAAAAAGCTCCCCGAGGAATGTCTTCGAAGGGCAGTGAATGCCGGCAGTGGAACGAGGAAGTGCCCTTTCTGAAAAACCTCGGAGCTGGCATATGGGTTGTGGTGCTTTGGGGTGGGGCTAGCTCATCCCACACAAACCCCCCAAAGCTGTTCCTTGGGATGCATGTGAAGCAGCTTGCGATCCACGGGGCGGGGGGGGGGCTAATCCTTTCCTGTGTCCGAGCCCCCGTTTCCAAAGTTGCAAGGTTCCTGCGTCGGGTCTGCCGCCGAATCCCCTGCAGTTCACCGTCGCTCGGGCTTCCCACGTTTCAAGGTTGGGACTAAACAATGTAGGCCTCCGTCTGTAGACTTTCAGCTAATAAGGCCTTGCATCTGGCCAGAGCCAGCAGTTCATTTTGGAAAAGTTATAGCGCCAGGTGAGTAATGAGGCTTTTCAAAAAGAAAAGGGGGAGGGGGAGGAAAGGATGAAGCTGCACAATTAATATAATGGTGGTTGACCTCATTGCAACTGGGTACACTGCGCTCTGTTCCCTGACTACCTCTTTAGAAGACAAACAGCCTCAGTAATCAATGCATCTCTTGACTGTTCTGGAGTTTGGTGCAAAGAGGAGCGCTTTGTGAGCCCATAAATCAGGCTAGCCCCAAATAAAATAGTGAAACCGCTGGGTCTCTCCTTCTGCCTCCCTGCCCTGTTGCCTCTGCAGCCTGGAATCGTGTCCCCTTTCAAGCGCGTCTTCCTGAAAGGTGAAAAGGGTCGGGACAAGAAGGCCCAGGAGAAGGTGACGGAAAGGCGGCCCCTGCACACGGTGCCCTTCTCCTTGCCGGACCGGGTGGAGCCGGACGTCCTCTTGAACGACTACATCGAAAAGGAAGTGAAGGTAACCTGTCCTCGTCCTTCCATGACTCTCTCTGGTTTCCAGAGCAGGAGCCTCGAGAGGGCCGTGGTTCCCCCACACACACACCTTGGGTCTCCCGGTGTTCTTGGACTCCAACTCCCAGAAGCCCTTGCCAGTACAGCGGGTGGTGAAAGGCTTCTGGACATTGTAGTCCAGGAACACCTGGGTGACCCAAGCGGGGGGGAACCACACCTCTAGATCCTATGCCATGAGAAACGGCCCAGTTTTGTCCTTATTACCTTTCTGTCAAGAACTGGTGGGTGCCGTGCCTGTTTAGTGGGAACGCATTCCCAGCCTTTGGAAATTCGAGGCCCAATGGCAGCGTTCCACCATCAGTACCTCTAGACCCCTGCTGCCTTTTGTGTGACTGTTGGAGTGTTATGACCGTGACAAGCCACAATAAAAGGAAAAGGGTGGAAAAACAGACTGCAAGGTCCACCCACCTACATGGTAGAAGCACCTTCAAGGCCAATCTGACGAGGAGGCACTTGTGTGCTTGAATGGGGCTTTTGTCCCCCAGAATACCTTTGTGATGGTAATGGAGACTTTTCCATGACGTGTGCTTGAGTCATGCCATCTCCCTTTAATCTGAGCCCTTTGAAAGGTAGAGTGAGTGGTGGGTGGCTTGCCTGCAATCTGGAGCTTTTTCCATCCCTTCACTGGCTGAATTGCTCAGAAAGAGAGTTTTTCTCTGTAGGATGTCTATTTTGAATCTACGCTTGTGTCAGAAGGCTGAAGTTGAGGTTTGTATGCCTGTGTATCCACATAGGTGCTAATTGTTTCAAATTGCTTTCCAGTATTTAGGTCAATTAACATCTGTCCCAGGATACCTGAATCCCTCCAGCCGTGCTGAAATACTGCATTTGATAGACAATGCAAAGGTGTGTATTTTGTCATCACTTGAGCCTTAGTTTCTCCTCTCTTTCTGCAATCAGGTGAAGAAGGCCTTCCTCTTCAGCCCGGCTTTCCCTGAATGACTGGCTGCCTGAGTGGGGTTTTTTTTTTTTAAAGGGATCCTTGTGCCTTTCGCCTTTGAATGTGGTTTTGGTATTGTTTATTTTTTTAAGTATGGTATTCATTTGGTCCTTTAGTATTTGTAACGGGACCAAACTCCGGGAGGCCATGGAAAACAGGAGGGCCTGGCGTGCTCTGGTCCATGGGGTCACGAAGAGGCAGACACAACTGAACGATTAAACAGCAAAGTATTTGTATACTCACTGTCGTTCCCTTTAAATTTTGTCTTTTAATGATGTAAGCCGCCTTGGGTCCTTACTAAGGAGAGAAACATGGTAAAAAAATAATTTAAATAATAATTGACTAAATTAGTCCAAACACCAAACTTTATTCTCTACACACCAACAAGGGATAGGAGATACTGTGGTGGACAAGCATTGAAGAGACACTGAGATGACCCTCAGTGTCAGACCTGGCAAGGTTAAAGAAAGGAGCAGGCCAGTGGATTGCCAGGCACAGCTGGTTGTTGGCCTCGTGGGTGTTAGACTTGAAGCCCTTTTTGATCACCTCTTTGTCCCTGTCCTGTCCCTCCAGCCGAAGGTGGGCAACTCTGGCCTCCCGGTTGTTTTTCAACTGTCACTTCCTTCGTTCCTTCCCATGGACGGTGTTGACTAGGGTCTGGTGGGAGCTGTAGGCTGAGCACCTCTCCGAAGGGTCCTCGGTTGCCGACTCCAGCTCACACTTTGGATGCCTCCCTTGGGTTCTGGTATCCTAAAGGGAAGGGGCGAGTCCTTCCCGGAGCCCAGTTGCACGTTTATTTAGATGGAAACAGCAAAAAGGTGTCCCCAGAGTTGTGGGAGAAGGAAGAGGTGCACGGATCGTTCTCTCTCTAGTTGTCTGTCTTGCCGCCTGATGCTTGGCTCATTGTGTGTGTATGTTGAGACCTGCTTTTTTTTCCCCCAAGGAGCCTGAGATCTTCTAAGGGGGGGGGGAGGGATTTCCTCATGTCCTGCACTTCTAGCTTTGCCTCGCTCAAGAAAAGGGCTTTCACGCTCTCTCTGGGCTGGGCTGTTGGGGCCCCTCCGGTCCGCGCCGCCCACCTCCCTGTGTTTCATCCATTTGGTTCCAGAGGGCGCATCAGCTTCCCGGCCAGCTGACCCAAGAACACGACGCTGTGATCAGCCTCTCCACCTACAACATCAAGCTGGTATGGCGAGACGGCGAAGACATCATCCTCAGGGTCCCCATCCACGACATCGCTTCGGTCTCATACATCCGCGATGACTCCTCACACCTGGTGGTGTTGAAAACGGGTATGCTCGGACCCGCAGAGGGGCTGCCCTCCCCAGGCGCCGGGAACCCTCGGGGAGATGTCGCCTTTCCCCCCAACTTCTCTTGGCCCCGCTCTCGCCTGCCCTGGGGACTCCTGCTGGCAGCCGTGACTCTTCCAGGGCATCGGGGATGACCTTTCCCTCGCCCGGCCTGGGGATCCCTGGGACAGTCCATGCAAGGACCAGCCGGACCTGACCCAACCCTGCTTGGTCTCTGAAACTGGCCGAGCTCCTGTGGGTCCCGGGGGCTGCGGGGAGAGCCGGGCAGGGATCAGGCCGACAGCTACGGAGCTCATGACTCGCTTACTGCTGGTTCCGCTAATGGTCTCTGGTTTTTCTCAGCTCAGGACCCCGGGATTTCCCCCAGCCAGAGCCTTTGTGCTGAAAGCTCAAAAGCCCTTGCCTCGGGGTCGCTCTCGGGAAGCGGAGTGGTTCCTGTCGAGGCCTGTTGCCTGGTGGTCTTGGCTACCGAGAATAAAGTAAGAGGCCCCCTCTCCTGTCGTCTCGACCCCTCCCTTCCTCCCTCCCTCCCTCTCTTCCTCCCTTCCTCTCATCCTTCCTTCCTCCTCCCCTCCCCTCAGTAGCATCAGTCTGTCCCATGGTGATTGCTTATCCCTGGTGATGGAGATTTTTGTGGCCCTGCGGGAATCTTGCACTGTCCACGCAAATCATGGCTACCATTTTAATACGTCCTGAGACTCCGTCGGCCCCTTTGTCCGTTTCCCACACAGATCTCTGGCTGGACTATAACACATTCCCCCGGGACACAACCCGTGTGTTGCCAGTGGCTTAAACGTTCCTCCCTGGTTTACCCAAGAGTAGTGGGTTGCTGCTCCCGGCAGATCTAGAGGCCCTTCCTAAAAATGCTTGATTTGCCTGTTGCATGGCCCCCTGTGAGGGGAGTCTGTGACTCTTCATGCTCCTTTTCCTCCCTTCCTTCTTCAGGTGACGGCAGAGGAACTCTGCTCCCTCCTCAGCCAAGTCTTCCATATTGTTTACACGGAGTCCACCATCGACTTCCTCGACAAAGTAATATTTGATGGGGCCTCCACGCCGACACGGCATCTCTCCCTGCACAGCGGTAGGCAAAGCGACAGGGCGGCGGGCTGTTCATCTTTTCGGAACGACTTTCTCACCACTTCCCTTCGGCCTCCCGGGTTTCCGTGAGGGAGCCAGGATCCGTGGGAGGCCTGCCGCCCCACTAGCCATCCCATAACCCCAAGATGGAAGCTGTGCAGGTTTGACCATCTTGTCACTTCCTAGTTCTGAAGAAAAGCCCTTTAAAGTCTGAAGCATCCAGGAAGGGCATATGCTTACATGTCAAATTGCAACCCCAAGAAAAGCCGCTGGAGGGTGTGTTTATGGTGGGGAGCCCCTGTTTTTTGGAGGTGTTGGAGGCATGCGCACCAGACTCTCCAGGGCCTGGGGAGGGTAAAAAGAGTTTTCCGGACCCTCAGACGTTGCCCACCTCCCTTTGAATGGGAGGTGTTGCATCTAACTTAGAGCGGAAGCATTAAGCCAGATGTTAGCCTCCATAGTAGAAAAGGGGAAACCAGAGAGGCTCATTCATGGCTTGTGGATCTTGTGCCACTGAGGACTCCAAGCAGGGAGTGGCTTTGAGAGGGGGCTCTGCTTCCCTTTGGAGAGGGAGCCTCCCACGCTGAATCTGGCTTCATTCTTCTAGAGTGGCCTTTGAGGGTGGGCAGGTCAGACGTTAAGCAAGACAAAGACCAAAAAGCGTTTGTTTGTTTCCTGAGAATCAGGGAATCAGTTGCCTGCCTTAGAAATGCTTCCCTTTAGCACTTCGGGGTGTACGAAAAGGGGCCAATAAAGCTTCATGTCTTTGCTTCCATCATGTAGGAGACAAGTGTTTGCATCCGGTCTCTTAAGGTGGTACAACTGAGCCTCGTTTTGCATTAGAAAGCATATTTGCTTTACTTTATTTTCATTTATTGTATTCAATTTATTGCACTTCTGGGCCACCTTTCTCCCAGCGTTGAGACTCAAGGCAGCTGGCGAATCATTAAAAGAGGCAAGAATTAAAAACAACGTACGAAAAGAAATTAAAAAAAAACACACACACACACAAAGCTGACAAGAGCTGTGGAAGTTACTTGTAACTGCAAAATGATAAAAGCAGCCCAGAAGCCCAATTCTGCCAGCTAGACGTGGGCTCATTTGCCCCATCCTCTCTCCAAGATTTCTGGCCTGGAGATTGCTGGGACTTGTCCAAGAGGCGAATCTGCTCCCTTGGCTGTCAAATGGTTTCTGTTCCGCTTCACCTCGGGGACCGAAGCCGTCAGCCCGGGCTGTCTCTCCCTGGGGCAAGGGTCTGCCCGGTCCTTCAGCCCCAGCAAAGGCAGCTGAGAACGCCCTGCTTTCGCTTCTCAGTGGCTTCTGCGTGAACCACCCGCGAGGGTCAGTTTGGAGTGGGTCAAATGGCCCAGCGTTTATGTCTCTCCTCTCTTGCTCCCTTCCAGATGACTCTTCTACAAAAGTGGACATTAAAGATTCCTACGAAACTGAAGCAAGCACTTTGTGAGTGTCTTGTGTGCACGGGAGAGTGGTGGGGTCCCTGATCTCTGCCCAACCCCTTAATGGCTCTGTGGAGGTTATTTTACCTAGAATTAATCTGGCCCACACCGGAAGAGCTGGGGAGAGGAAGGTGCTGTAGAGACCTATATGGGTTTCTGCTCACGATGGCCATCGGAACTCTTTCTGTAGGGTCTGCTCCATGCTGGGTGGTGTCCAGAACAGAAACTGGAAGTGGCGTGCCATCATGGGCATGGGCCAAGCGGGCGGGGGCGGGGGGGGTGGCCTAGAATGGAACAGGTAAGCAACACCCGGCAGATGATCCGCAGCGGTGTGAGCCAGACGGCATGGCCACTGGGTGGGGAAGGGCAAAGGCTGGTTGCCAGCCACATCGCTGGCCTGGAGCCCAAACCAGGGCTCAGGGAAACATTAATTAGGGCCAGACTGGGAATGGCAGCCCCCCGAGAGTAACCCCCTCCTCCCACCCATTGCCTGATCGTTGAGAAGAAGAAGCTGGCCTTTCTCCCTCTTCACACTGGGTGCTCGGTGGGTACTCGCTGGTTCTGTTGCGTTTCTTTGTGACCTTCCAGTCTGAGCGGGACGTGTTGGCACTGCAGGTTAAACCGCAGAAGCCTCTGGGCTGCAAGGTCGGAAGACCAAGCAGTTGTAAGATCGAATCCACGCGACGGAGTGAGTGCCCGTCGTTTGTCCCAGCTCCTGCCAACCTAGCGGTTCAGAAGCATGTAAATGCAAGTAGATAAATAGGGACCACCATGGTGGGAAGGTAATGGCATTCCGTTTCTAAGTCGCACTGGCCATGTGACCACGGAAGATTGTCTTTGGACAAATGCTAGCTCTATGGGTTGGAAACGGGGATGAGCAACGCCCCCTAGAGTCGAACACGACTGGGCAATTGTCCAGTCTCATCTTTCCTCCAGGGAGTTCATGCTTCTCTCCCACCCCGCTTTATCCTTGCAA